TTACTGGGCATCGAAGCTGGCCCTGCCTCCCCATCCTCCTGTGTGTAACCCACGAGTTAAGATAAAGTGTGTGTCATTAAAGACAAAAGGTCTTTAAGGAGCTCAGTCCATGGAACTTGCAACTCTTGACCTTGGGGTTATGAGTTTGAGCCCCACGTTGGGGGTATTTACTTTAAAAAAAAAAAAAAAAAGAGTTGGGTGTGTTAAACCCAGTATGTTGATGATAAGAAAAAAGGCAGAAGAAAACTGGTTCAAAAGCAGTCATTTAGAAATTATTGTTGTTATAACTAATACATCATATTAATACAAATTTAAAATAATTTATACTTGAATATATTGAATATTTTGTTATATATTGAATGATATACAAAAGAGATTAATACAGTTTCAAAGAACTGATATTGTATCATTTTTATATTGCTCCGAATCCTCTCCTTTGCCAAAGGTAAGGACTGTGTTAGGTATAGAATTAAAAGTAAACAATTCGTAATAGCTACAGAACTTAAGGCACTGACGTTAAATTTCTTTTATGAGCATTCAGAGAGGATTTGGAGAATGGAAAATATGGCTAGATTTTTAAAATCATACTATCGTGAAATCTCTGTGCATTATCAGGTCTCTTTACTGACCCAGAAGTTGAAAAAACACTGCAAAGTGGAATATCAAATTAAAACATTTTCTGGGCAAACCCATGGCTTCGTGCATCGAAAGAGAGAAGATTGTTCAGCGGAGGACAAGCCCTATATTGACGAGGCAAGAAGAAATTTACTTGAGTGGCTGCACAAGTACGTTTAGCTGTGGCCAAGCGTAAACTTCCTCAAGATAGCTTGCATCCAGAAACGTGCTTTGGGATACTTGGATCATTTAATTTTCACTTTATACAAATCAAGGAATCCTGAAACTCATTATTCCCTCTGAAACATAAATTGGGTAGAAAATGTTAATGCATGACATAATTTAACTTTTAATACATTAACCCCCCCTCCCCAAACCAGGTCAGTGCCTAAAGAATTTGAATGATAGAGTAATATCCTCAGTAAAAACGTAGGGCTGTTTATGGACCAGCTGACAGCTCAGGTGTGGACTTCTTGCTTTTTAATTAGTTACATCCTTTAAAATGATGAGCATAGCAAAGCCGTGAAGAACATAAACTATAAACTCAGATTCAAAGCCCAGCTTAAATTGGGCATTTATCTGTGTTAATACAGATGAATCTGTCACATTCATACGTTGCACTATGAGAAATCCTGAGGTTAAAATAGGGTTTCATTGACCTAATTACATCAAGCCAATAAACTTACTTTTTGAATGTGTGGCTTTTTCTAAAAGCTAATGAAGAACGATGGATTACAATGACGGTCTCCTAGGAAGTGATTTTTCCAAAACGGCGTTTTCCGGGCCCAGGGCCTGGGGCTGCGTCAGAAGTCACTCATGCGTTCACTTGGAAGGGGTACGAGGTCAAGTTTCAGTTTTTAGATTTTAATTACTTTATATTAAATCCCACGAGCAGCTCAGCTCCTCGGGAGCCCCAGCCCTATGCCAGGCACTCAGCGGCCATGCGTGGCCTGGGGAAACCATGTTGGGCAGAGCCAGTCTGTGCCAGGAAAAGGTTCTTCGTTCTTCTCGCTGCACCTTGCTGACTTTCCACGAACCCTGGGCTGGACGGCGGTCACTCCCACTGGCCCCTCTGAGTCTGCAGATCCAGAAGGGCCACGTGGCCACCCTCCCACCCAGGCCTAGGCCCTGCAGGATGTGCCCTCCATCAGGTGGGGGCACGGGGGCGGTGTTTCCACTTGGCTTCTGGGCTGTTCACCCCCCCGGGTGCCATGGCCAACTTGGAACCATTTCCCATCAACCCTGGGCGTCTGGGAGGGAAACCCACGCACTTCTATTCCAGAAGACAGGAACGAGAAGGGTCCCTGCAGCGTCAAGGATCCACACCCACCCCTCTTGTTTCTCCCATAGCTGGGCTTGCGGAGTCTCATATGACTGACGGTTTTAGTTCTGTGAGGGCGGAGGGGTGACAAGATGGATCCCTCTGGAGAGGGAGAGAAGGGAGCAGTGATGTGGGCCTCACCCAGGCAGGGATATGAAGAGAGGGGTTCCAGAGCAGTTAGAAGAGTCCTGGGAGGACACAGTGAACCGTCTGAGGCCTGCTTAGAGATGATGCAGGTAAGGGAGAGAAGCAGGGCTCTGGGCAAGTTTGGTTTGAGTTCTGTCTGGAAGATCAGGTTTTCTTGGGCTGCAAATACCCCGACTAACAGTGGCTCGACTAACAGTGGCTGAGAGAATAACACTGGAGTCTCTCCCACAACACTCCTAATTGGGTCCCAGAGGGGTTCGGGGCCTTGCTGATGTCAGGACATGGCTGGGTGCCTGCCATTCTGGGCCCTCTCGTCATGTGCATGGCTGTAGGCCTCCAGCTCACAGAACACCAGCCAGGGCAGGAAGGGAGGCCAGTGGTTCTAGTTGTTAGGGAGGGAACTCTTTCCCAAGACGTAGCCCCCCCGCCCCCGCCCGCCCCAATCTGGGACTCCCAGCCTCCAGAACAGTGAGAAAGCAATGTTTAAGCCACGGTCTATGGCATTTTTGTTCTAGGAGCCTGAACTAAGACGGTTATCGTCTTAAGTTTCAGGCTCACTGTATCATTTTGAGAAGTGTAACCAGTTCAATGTCCTTTTGAGCAACACTGGTGTCCGGTGATAAGGGGGCTAGATGGGCTGGCACAACTACTGTGCCTGCCACAAGGACGTGCTCTCTACGCTTGTCACAGAACGTCAGGAAGCTGTGCGCTCCAGGCGGGGAGCTAAGGATTCCGTGTTCCCATTGCTTCAGCAAGGCCCTCCTTCAGGGAGAGGGGCTTTTTCTTCTTGTGTGGTGCCTGTCACATGTAACACACTACCTCTCAGCCCTACCAGAAGCAACTGTACTTGTAAGTGGTTGCTTGTCATTGAAGAGCAGGCCATTTAGCAAACACCTAGTAAATCCAGCCAGTGGGAGCCAGCAGGAAAGTGCTGTCCTGGTCCAGTGTCTAGGAATCTGGCCTGGGAGGCCCGTGCCTTGAGTCACTCTTGGTGTGCACAGATGACAGCTGGCTGGGGTGGAGGGCACGGGCTGACCCCGCACTTGGTGAGCAGGCTCTCTGGGACCCGTCTGGCGGTCGGGATTAGGAAAGCTGCCCGGCAGAAGGCACGTTTGCAAAGTCTGAAGCATCAGGTGGAGACTTCACAGCTGAAGGCAGCGCAGCAAGTCCCCCTAGCACCCCTGGGGGTCGTGGGTCCAGCCTCAGCTACTGAAGACTCTGGATCTTCTCCATTTGACAGAGACTGGTTTCTTTTGCCCAGTGTCCTAAGGCCTCACTACAGGGCACGGAATGAAGTCTTTTGCATTACAGACGGAAAAAAAGGGACACATAACATGGCACGAAATTTGTAACTGGAAAGTACAAAAGATCACGTGTTACCTTGAAGAGGTCCTCACACGAAGCAAAATCAAGTTTGTGAAACGTCTCTATAGGTTTTTCTCTTCGTGGGCCTTATTGTTTCTCTCAGCCCCAAAACCACCAGGACCGTGTGTGAGGCCCATGTTGGAAGGGAGGAGTGGTTTAGTGGCTCTTCTCAGACAATCACGGACTGCTTCAGGCGAGGCTGGTCCAAAGCAAGCTGCTGCGTTGTCTGCAGGCTAGAATCAGTCCGTCAGGTGGGTCTGTCTGACTTGACTCCAGCCCCGGAACCCAGTAGTACAGACTGTTAATAGTGCTACAGCACAGTATGTTTTAAAATGAAATACACACCAGGTTCTATGTGCAGTAGGGTTTTTTTTTAAGATGTCATCTATTCATCTGATAGCGTGTGCACGCGAGCATAAGTTAGGGTGAGGGGCAGAGGGAGAGGCAGACTCCAAGCTGAGTGTGGAGCCCAACGTGGGGCTTGATCCCAGGACCCTGAGATCATGACTTGAGCTGAAGGCAGATGCGTAAGTGACTGAGCCACCCAGGTGCCCGTGTTCAGCTTCCAAAACTGGACTGTCTATTCCACAACATACTGCTAAGGAATACCAGCACTCACTCCTAAGCCTGTAGCCTCTGCTTTGCCAAACCACCAATGCAGCCCGAGAAGAAACAATCCAACAGGATCCGGGTTCACAGAAGGCAACTCTGAAACATCACTGAAGTCAGCATAGACTGCAACAATTTACTTCGTAATTCTGGTTATCTGACTAGTCCCATCAGGATTCCTCTCCCCCTGGTGGCACCTAAGTAAACATCCTGATTCTCCAGAAAAATGGAATCTAGAGAACCAGACACGGGGTGAAACAGCCTAGGGGAGGAGGGGCCCCCAGGAGTCAGGAGTGCCTGGGTTTGCCCCAGCTCTACAGCTCACTGGCCAGGTGAGAGCGGCACTCAGTCTAGCTCAGACTCTCAGAACAAGGCCTGGCCCGTGCTAGGGGCTGGGTCACGTTAGCCACTGTCACTTTAGGAAGGAGACACCGGTCTACCCATGCATGGTAACCACGAGACCTTTCCTTCCATTCAACCCATTCTAACCTCCACGCGTTCTGTCCCGCGGAAAGGAAACCCCAGCGGGGCTCTGAACGAACCTTCTAAGTTCCTGCAGGTGGTGCAGGAGTCTGGGCCCACTTGGTCTCCTCTGTGCACATGCTGGCCCGTTTGGGTAAGGGCAGGGCCAGGGCAACGTGATGCCCAGGAGCCTACGTGAAATCTTACCGTACGCTCGCTATGCGTGTCTCAGCTAGGAGCACTCAGGACATCCCGCAATCTCGTGGTTTCCCATACTTCTCTCCGACGGGTCTCTACATCTATTCAGAGAGGTGCAGCATTGAAATACATTTCACAGGATCAAGCCCACAATCCATTGAATCTTGAGAACAAACTCAATGTTTTAAAGTACCTACAGATAAAAAAAAGATCTACTCAAACCCCTTCATTAAGGCAGCATCTGACTGGTCAGTTGGTGCTTCCTGAAGAGAAGATAGCAGTGGTTTAAAGAGAGCGCTTTAATGGAACGAATACAAAAGCTTGCGAGACAGCACTCCCACAGCCGAGCGTTTGTGAACAAGTAAAACCATGGTTAACCAAACAGCTATTTTTATTTATTATAACAGCATCCACAGTGTCTGAAAAAGGACACAGTAATAAATAACTGCAGATGCGTCATGAGACATCCCTTTATTCGGTCACAGCAGTGGGTCTTACTACTACATTTTATTCTCAAGTTTTTCCTTATTCTTCAGATTCTCCAGGCTTCCGGATGTCATCAATCTTCAAAATCATTCTAACCATTTGTGTTGCAAGAGAGATCTGTTGCTTTTTGCCAATCAAAGTTTCTATGACATGCTGCTGCTTCATATCTGAAAAACAGAGAGATTATCCTTAATATATTTCGTATTAATAACTTGTTCTCATTTATAAAATCACAATAAAACTTAAATACAAATCTGGAAGAAGCCCACAGTCCCAGTTACACTTTCAGAGGAACAGGATTTTGTTCTCCCGAGGACACTCTGGAACTTGAACCTGGGTGCCAGAAAGCTGGGGGTGGAGGGGACCTCTCTCCAATGACAAGCTCAAGTGCTGGGCGACTAGCTAAAATCTTTTCAGAGACATCTCGCCCCACAAAGTATTCACTAATAACATAATTTAGTAAGCCCAACGTAAGTAAAAAAATCGGACTATACCTGAAATGTAAAATAATTCCAAGAAAGGCCTAAAAATTGTAAATGTCAACAGAACCAGGCCTTCAAGTTGAAAACAAATTTAAATATTTGACAAAGAGCTGCTGTTATTAAGATCCGCTGGCTGTGAACATGAAAACCACAGCACAGCTGTCGTTCTAAGTAAAAGCACAAATCCTCAGATTCTGTGGTTGGGGAGGATTGCAGAACTCTGGACATGGCCCCATTAGCACCAGAGTCATGAGTGCCACCGTTCCAGCAAGCTTCTGCTAGGTCCCCCCCTTTCAAACCCCAGCAGCTACAGTACTGGAATCGTGGACACAACCCCAGAATAAACGGAGACCAAAAAGTCAATTTCAGAGCTGCTTCCCAGGACACCCAGAACCTACCTGTGTAAAGAAGAAACGTGGGAACAATTTTCTAAAACCAGAAATGGAAGTCATCTTTGGTAGAAAACAGCACATTATACTTTACGGTTATTAAAATCAGTGATATGTTGCTAGGACTAGCAGTCTCAGCAACTCCTAAGGTTATCAAACGAAACTTTCTAAAATTTGGGACCTGAATATCTCAAGTGTGTAAGTATTTAAGATACGATAATCTCACACTGTGCACCCAGCATGAAATCACTAGATTTCAACCCAACGCAGCCCCTCCAAGTTGCCACTGCTCCTCACCATTTGTACCCTTGTGCAAACAGTCAATCCCCAGAGCAGGGTTCATGTCCTTCACTTGTCTGGCTCGGACTTCGGTCATAGTCTGGATGGGATTCATGCCGCTGTTTTCAGAAAGAGCCATGGGGATGACCTCCAGCGCATCGGCAAAAGCCCGCATGGCGTACTGCTCCAAGGTCGGGCACTGGAAGGGGGCAGGGTCACGGTTAGCGTGCTTGGTAAAAACAATAAAACAAGCCAGCAATTTGGAAATGTAACTAAATCGCATACTTCGAAAACCTAACTCATGAAGAATTCTAAGAATAGAATGTAAATGTAAATGTCGCTACGGGGGGAGAAAAAGGTATACACCTGAGAAAAGTCTCAAATCAGCTCTTACTACTTTATTTTCAGTTATGATATTCATTTAACTTTGAGCTTCAAATAACATTATGAGACTGGAGAGCGATGGTCAAGGCTGGAAGGCCGGGTTTTGGACAGCTGCACCTAATGTGTGGGCGAGAATCACAGACCAGATGCTGGTCGCCCACGGCTACAATGCTTTGTTCACAGCCCCACTGCTGTACCCCCCAGGGTCCAGAGATCTCGCAGGGGCTCTACCTTGTCAGCCTCCTGGCTCACTGCCAGTGCACAAGCGATCTCAGCAGCGCCTCCTCCGTACACCACACGGTTATCGCGGATGAGGTTCCGGATGACACACAGAGCATCGTGAAGGGATCGTTTTGCTTCCTCGATGATCTAGGGAAGGAGACAGTTTTGCCTAAATTACTGTTATTACCACATACTTGTTTTAGAGCCAGCTACCTGTCACCTCTGATTTAATCTAGGTGTTTGCTGGGTACTAGAAATACTCCTAACTCCCCTATTAAAACTCTCTAGGTTAAGGGGCGCCTGGGTGGCTCAGTTGGTTAAGCGACTGCCTTTGGCTCAGGTCATGATCCTGGAGTCCCGGGATCGAGTCCCGCATTGGACTCCCTGCTCAGTGAAGAGCCTGCTTCTCCCTCTGATCCTCCCCCCTCTCATGTACTCTCTCTTTCTCGCTCTCTCAAATAAATAAATAAATCTTTAAAAAAAAAACAAAACAACTCTCTAGGTTAAGAACAAATGGAGAGAACACACTAGAACATTCGTTGCTAGATGGTTTCTACCTTTACCCTCCCTTTCCTCCCTGTAATGTAGTTACAACCAGGCAGAGGCAGCCAGCGACTCATTCTGGGACCCATGAGGAGCAAGGGAAGGGGTCAAAAAATCCAAAACTGACCAAGAAAAACCTCACGAGTCTAAGTGATCAGGATGCACTAAATATCTATCCTGAGAGAAGAGAGAGAATATCAGTGGTTATTTACTTGGGTCCCCTACTTTCACTTAAGCGACTCCAAGGCCAGTGTGCCTTGTAGAATTAACAACAGCACATGATCTTCGATAATTTTACATCATGGTAAGTCATGATTTCTTGAGAAAAATGATTGTTTAAAAAATAGCAATTACATCTCAGTTAAATACATGATGAGCAAAGCCAAACCATATACCAAAAGCAGAAAAAATGCAGGATAAATAAGTAGATTCTTACCATCTTATTTCCTCCTCTGATGAAAATGGTCACAGCCCTGGAGTTCTTACACTGCTCGATGACCAGCATTTTGTCCTTAGTGGTCCCAAAGGAGATCTCTTTTACAAGACCAGCAAAGCCCAGCTTCTCAGACGTAAGCTCTGAGAACCGCGGAACAATCCGGCCTCCCGTTGCGATGGCGATCAGCTGGGTGGCATAGTCAGGAGGAGGAGAGACACGACGCTAGTGAGCACTGAACTTCCTAAATCACACCACAGATGAGCCAAGCTCCATCTAGGACTAACCCACACTAGCCCAAAAAGGTCAAGGTCAACCCAAAAAGCCGTGTCAATCAGTGTGGTTCGAAGGGCTGGTGTCTTGGTCGGTCCCATCACCCTGCACACACTCCCCATAGCTCCTGACCACCTCTCCTGACCAGATCGAGCTCTGCGCAGTGGCCCCTCTCCACTCCCTGGCCGCAGTGAGGACCAGAGGCCGTGCGTCCAGGCACAGACCACATGTGGGACGGCCATCAGCATGTGGCTGACACAGAAGTGGCTAAGACAGGGCTTCCTGCCTCAGAGAGCCAAGCGGGATGACAGATGGAAAGCATTTCTAAAAACCACAGAACACCAGAACTACACAGTTGTGCTGTTCTTTATGATATACATTTTTTATAAATAAAAAAAGATTCCAGCATTTTTCTCTCTCCCAGCTCCCCCTCCCCTGATCTACGGAGCCTTGGCACAATGTGGTTACTGAAGGCAAATGCTATAAAAGCAATGCCAAGACACACAGGCATCTTAAGCTCACCCCCCGAGTTCACAAGTCTTCACACGAGCGTCCTACCTCTATTTCAGGTCCTCCTACCCAGCGAACCGCAGGTAGGTTATTCTGAAGAAGTAAATGATTTGCTTCGTCGTCGAAGCCCCACTGGCAAATAGCTAGGTTAGCTCCCGTTTCTTTAATCTGGGGAAAAAAATGCCTCAGTCACGTCAGCGTTCCTTGTGCTCGAAGAAAGACGGGATACACAGTGGGGTGTGCATTGAAACAAAGCAGAGAGAAGGAAGGCAACACCCAAGTGTCTCACTTTCTGTCAGGCCCAAATTCTAAATAATGGACAAGTATCAATAGGAATCAGCTCATTTTTAAAAAAGATTTATTTACTTGAGAGACAGAAACAGAGCTTGCAAGTGCATGCGTAGGGGAGGGACAGAGGGAGAGGGAGAATCCCAAGCGGACTCTGAGCTGAGTGCAGAGCCCGACACTGGGCTTGATCCCATGACCCTGAGATCATGACCTGAGCTGCAATCAGCAGTTGCACGCTCAGCTGATGGAACCACCCAGGCGCCCCTGGAATCACCTCAGTTTGTAAACTATGCTTTAAGTATCAGTAATTCACGCTGAACCCCACGGCCACAGCGAAATAAAACAAAGACATGTCAACAAGGCTTAGCACTGCCCCAGGACCTAGGGGGACAGCTGTCTCACCACAAATACCCATAAGGCAAGTTCATTCGTGTACGTGTCTAACAGAAACAGCATCTTTGGCACACATTTCTCTCCATCTGCTTTTCTCACTTGGGTGCACTACCCTCTGTGGATCAACAGGCTACTTTAGAGGCCCACAGATGTGATCCTGCCTCCCACCCCTGCAAATGGCTAAGCCACTTGTCCTGGGAAGGCAGCAATGACCAGAGCCATCCCGCGTACCCCGCCCTTGGCAGTCACCTGTGGTTGCTGGGCCATGCCTCACACCCACTCTGTCTGCACCTAAACCCCTTGAATCTTCCAGCGCACCAGCTCTCTTTGATTCCATGACCCTCTGGAACTCAGTCTGTTAACATGCCACTAATTCTTGAGCACTCCTTCTGGCATATTCCTGCTGTGAACAAACCCCGCTGTCCCCTGAAGTCAACCTGCCTCAGTATCTCCTCAAACGGCTAGTTTTCCCTCCCATGTGTTCAAAATAGGAGGGGTCCTTCTTGGTCCCCTCAACTGAGGGTAACATTCCTCTCTCTGTGCACGACTCTCATTCTGTAGTAATGTTAGCATCTAGTCCCAACACATTCCTGGCAACCCACACATCTACCAGCACCACTCACCCAACTCCCCCGGCCTCTCAGTTCCTGCCCCCTTTTCGCCCAGTGCACCTCGGCTGGCCATTTCCACGGCAGCCTTGTAGCCCAGATAATGGGTTTTAATTTACAAACTCCTGCCAGCATGCTCTCACCTCTCAGCCTTGCTGTTGCCTGCACATGCCAACCATGTTCCTGCCTCAGGGCCTTTGCATATGCTGCCCACGCCCACCTTACCCTCAGCCTGGAATGCTCTTCACCCAGATACGTAGCTCTCACTTTGCTTCGGTCTCTGGTCACATGTCACTGCCTTAGAGAGACTTTCTCTGACCAGTGTCCTTCACAGAGCCACTACCCACTTTCCCCTTATTCTGCGCCTCAAGAGCAAGAGCTCTGCTTTGTGCCCTGCTATAGCTCAGGTACATACGACAGTGCCTGGTATATGGTAGGCAGAGACACAGATCACATAGGAGTATATGAATCCAACTACTCCCGTAAAGACAAACGTCAAGATGGCTTCTAGTCTGTCTGTCACGGTAAGTAATACTCATGGAGTGCTGATACAGTAAATTCTGAAGAAGCCACTGTCAGGGTCACGCACATGTAAAATATTAACAGCCAGAGAAAAAGGGTTAAGGTGTTGTATAAGCCAAGAACTGGAATTACAATTAGTTACGTTCTAGTTTAATTCCACTTATTCAGTAACTCTTATCTCTACAAGTTATATTTAGACATTTTGAGCACGTGCTAAGTTAAATAACGAAGTTGTCCAAACCTTGAACGTACTAGCTTAGGTGTCCAGGAAAGCAAGCATTGTAAAATCAAGAGCACAGCTCAAAGCCAGCCAGCCAACGCTTTCAAGTACTCCACGCGTTACCATTTTAAGACAAGACCAGCTTTCTTTCCTCCTCAAGCCTTTCTGGGCCCTGTGCCCACTTTGATTTCTTCTCACTGTGAACTTTTACTACTTTTATAATTTAAAAGTGAAATAACGTGGCTCATACTGTTAAGACATTACGTGGAACCACACAATGGAGCATCCAGACATTTCAGGTGAGTGCCATGCATTATCACGTACAAATCTACAGCTAACTAACCGTACCCTTTGAGAGTCTAAATTTTACTAACAATTACGGTGAGACTTACTTGCCGAATCATCTCTTCAAACTTCTCCTTTTCGTATTTCTGAAGGGCTTTATAATCTTCAACAGAGGTCACATCCAGCTTATGCTTGGTCTTTGGTTTTGGTGGTTCAAATGGACACGTGAGGATTGCAATCTTAGCATTTTCCACTTGCTATGGGGAGAGAGAAAACCCTTAAGCTGGTGGATTTAAGAGCGGAAAAAACCGTGTGAATCTGAAAGGCACGGACTTACTTTTGGCATCTGTGGGTGACTGAAATCCTTGTCCACGATCACGCCCTTAATAAGTTTCGTGTCCTCCAGCCGCCCGCCCACTTTGCCTTCCACCTTGATGAGCTCGAAGTCCACGTCTCTGCGCTGCATGTCTGCTACGGTGAGGACAGCATTCACGGCAATCTCGGCCATCTGCCGGTGACAGCTGTTAACCCTGAGGAAAACCCCAAGCAAACCTTTCACGTTCGCAAACCACTACTGTAACCAAAGCATGACACGTGATACAACATGGTTACTCCGGGATGTTTTGTAAAACCATTGATGTTTGGAGTCCGTAGCCAGCAAGGCCACCATAACCCGCACTTTCAACAGCCTGGGGTGGGGCTTCCTCACCTGGGCTCCAAAGACCCCAAAGAAAACCATACCTGGGATGGGGAAAGAAAGGACACCTTGTCTAAAGGAGGTGCAGCATTTAGTAAGAAGTGAGAGCACTTGACACGGCTGCTACCTTTGTAGGAACTTCCACCAACATCAGTTACGGACCGGGGTGGTGGGGGGCCAGAGCGGTATCTTTTTGGAAACCTTTGAAACCTCTGAACAGACTGCTTAATAAATTTACTTTTGGTTCTGGAAAAACTGCACCGAAATTTAGTACTTGGAACATAGTGCCTGAAATCTTGAGTCATTTTAGAGAGAAGATAACCACGAAGCCGTGTTATTAGGGGATCTACGGTATTTTGCTTTATGCTGAATGTATCTGGCCATTATTGGTTGTTTTGAACATCTTCTGCACTAAAGATCTATGATTTAATGAAGACCTGCAAACACAGCAAGGTCAACTTACAAAGCCATGACAACATGAGGTTTGTGCATTTCGACTAAGGGTAACATCTGCCTTCCAGGAGGACAGTACTGTACTTGGGACAGAGACCATTCCTCTAGCCAGCGAGTCTCAGCACCTGTACACCAGGAGGCACCTAGCACAGCACTGCCGTAGAGCCTTTCCCTGGGGTAGAGGGAGCAACCATTTCTCTTGTACTCCCCAACATCGGAGTCAAAACTCTGCCTTCCTTTTTGCTGAAACCACCACACACATGAATTAAAAACTAAACATTTCTCACACTGATCTTGATTCAAAATAACCAGTGTAATAAACCACCTCAAGCTAGATTTTTATGCTACATCATGGCAAGAGCCAGTAAATATTGTTCAAATAAGTATGTCCCTTGGCTGAGGCTGCTTTTGAGTCTCTGGGGGCGGGACCTGTGTCTCTGAGCCCCCAAGACGTGGCAGCAGGCCTGGTAAATAGCAGGCATTATGAAAACGTTGAAAACGCCCAGTGTAAGTCAATTTCAAGACTGTCCCTTCTTACTGAATTAAAATTCTGGACCAGTACCTGCTTGTTGAATAAATGAAAAGTGGAGCCCCTCCCCCTAAATGAGCAAAGAAATGGTGCAAGTGTTTTGAAAATTAACATTCCCCAAGCAGGACCATTTTCTGCTCAATTTCTAACACAGCCTATCCTGCTACATTAAAGAACAGCATCTCTTACAAATACTGCAGAGAGGATTTAATACCCAAGCCTGGAACTTCAGTTTCCAACTAAAACAGATGCATGTGGCTATACCTGCATTAAAAACAAAGCAAACCAAAGTAACAAGAACAGAACGCAGCACACAGAACAGTAAGAGGCTACTGGCAACCATCAGAAAGGAGGTCTTTAGCAACAAGCACACGCACGCTGCTTTCTCTACAAGTGCCAGTGGTGGTGCTCTACCGTAAACGTACACTTTGGAGCCCAGCGTGGTCTCTGCGGTCTGAATCAGGGGCTCAATGTCCTTTATGTCAACGAGGACACTATCGCTGATCTGGTCTAGGTGCTCGATAGCGATGCGGGCGGCCTGTTCGTAGCCATCGGCGATCCTGATCGGGTGAATGCCGCGGTCCAGCAGCTGCTCGGCTTCCTCCAGCAGGGCGCCAGCCAGGACTGTGGACAGGAGAGCGCACAAACAGATCAGGAAACCGCGAACGCTCGTATGATCACCACCAGTCGGACGCTACCCTAAAAGTAGGAAGGTTCTGGAATTAAAGTAAAAGTATCTTGGAGGTGGAGGTTTGTTTTTTTTGTAAAAGAGCCTCTGGTTTTGCTTTTAGCAAAGACCTGACAGTTCCTCCCCCCCCTTATAAATGGTGTTAGCTCTCGCTGATGGACAGGACGCAACCGAAGAACATAACCTAAAAGCATTTTTTACAAGGGCAAAAACCTCTTGTGCTTTCCAGGCCAAGAATTTCTTTTAGAATTTATTTTATTCAAAGCTTTTATTTATTTATTTGAGAGAGAGAGAGATCACAGGCAGGGCGGAGGGGTAGAGGGAGAAGATTCCCCACCGAGCAGGAAGGGGATCACGAGCCCAAGGCACCCAGGTGACCCAGAATTTTTTTATTTTTAAGTAATCTCTACCCCCAGCATGGGCCTCCAACTTACAACCCGAGATCAAGAGTTGCCTGCTCTACCAAGTGAGCCAGCCAAGTGCCCCTCCCAGGCCAAGGATTTCTATTCAGTAAAATTTGTTGGTGGTAAGAGGACTGAAGAACTGACGACTTATCCTCCCCACCGTCTTTCCTCCCCCTTGTTTTAGTGTCACAAAGAGGAAGAATGCTGTTTGTTTTAATACTGCCACACTCCAAGCACATCCATAATAGTGCTTGGTACCCGATAAATATTTGTTGATTAAATGAATTCAAATCTCATCTGCAGAAAAGGTAACATTAAAGCAATTCTTTCCCTCTTCCACCTTCTGAAACTTAAGTATTTCAGACCTCCAAGAAAAGTACAAGAATAGTAAAATGAATAGTTTACTAACACCATTTTGCCACATTTGTTTTCTCTACGAAGGCACACGTGTAATTCTGTTCAACTACATGACAATTAGTTGCAAAAATCATTTAATACGTCACCCCTAAGTATCTGAGCATCCAGCTCCAAGTACAAGGGCGTCCTCCTATAGCACTATAGTATAACTGTCATGCTCAGGAAACTTAACGGGGCACTACTTTGCAATGCGCAAGCCACAAATCCTCCCATGTATCCCAAACATCCCTCACAGTTAAAACAAACAAAAACAAAAAAAGCACCCACATCCAATCAAGTGTTATGCACTACAGCTGGGTGCCATTTCGCTTTGGCTCCCTTGATTTAGAACAGTTAAACGCTCCCCCAACCCCTTCTTGTTCTTCCAGGAAAAGGACTTTTGGGCCTTATATTGAGCCATGTCCTTCAACCTGGATTTGCATGACGGTCTCCTCACAATCTGATTCAGAGTAAACATTCTTGGCAGGTGTGTGTGATTTTAACTAATACTTCTGAAACGGTGTTAGAAAGGCTATTTTGCTTTCTTACCAACCACCCCCGTGGTCCCATCTCCAATTTCATCGTCCTGTGATTTGGACAGCTCCACCATCAGCTTGGCAATCTGGTGATCCACGTCCATCATGCTTAGAATGGTGGCACCGTCATTTGTCACTGTCACGTCGCCATCCTTGTCCACCATCATTTTATCAAGTCCTAGAAAAATGGCAATGTTTATAATGGCATCAGGGAAAAGAACAGAAACAAAATCTGTACCAAAAGTTATAAAAAAAAAAAATTAGGTCTCTTGACGCAATTCCTATTTATAGAACTTATTATAAAAATTTAACGCACATAAAAGAGTATCTACAAGCAAACGTTCTTTTAGGTTGGTGAATACAAAGCAAGACGCTGGAAGCAATCTAAAGGGCTAAAGCCAGAGAAATGGGAGGAAAAAAAAGGAGCATCACTGAATGTAGCATTAATCATAAAAAGGGACAACTATGATGTGGAAAATGCTAATGAAATGATGTGAAAAAGGAGAAAAAAACCCTGACGTAAAACCATATGCACCTATGATCATGAACACGTTGAAAGCCTAGAATACACAAAACAAGTTTGTTAGCGGTGGGGACCTAGGATGCCACCTGCCCCACGTCCCAACTTTATAAAAGGGTTGAATCAATTGTCTATAATTGATAACATTCGTCAAAAAACACAGAATGGTAGTCGCTTACCATTTGGTCCAAGTGATGTTCTCATTGTATTTGCTACAGCCTTTGCCGCCATGATATGAGACTGAAAGATGAAACAAACAGAAAAAAACAAATGTTCAAGGGGTGTCTGGGTGGCTCAGTGGTCTGCCTTCGGCTCAGATCATGACCCCAGGGCCCTGGGATCGAGCCCTGCTCAGCAGGGAGCTGCTTCTCCCTCTCCCATTCCCCCTACTGTCTCTCTCTCTGTCAAATAAGTATCTTAAAAACAGAAAAGAAACATACAAAATGAGCTCCTTTAAAAAAAATGAAAAACACAAACGTCCAAGTTATGTATTTTAATAGTTAAAAGCACACAACTAATGATTATAAAATCTATTTATACATAGTTTCTGTTCTCTAGAAGCTTTCACATTGAAGTGGCAACATGCAAGTCTAAATAAGTGTGGTAACCTTCACAGCCACCAGCTTTAGTAGATCATTCTCATGTAAAAGCAGCAGAACCTAGTGCTTTAACTCAGCACATCTACAAGGCAGGTTCCTACAGCTGAGAGCGCGGGCAGTCTGACCAGACAGGCCATGGAAGACCACTTAGCAATGCTAACCTCATACGAAGAGTCCAGATGTACACGTACAGCACCTTGATTTATCACACTACAGTGTGTACTGCAGAAATGTACCCTTCTCTTCCATGGTCGAGCCAGTACGTGGCCTACATGTGAAAAGTCACCCTTGTTTGTCATGTGCCAAGAGTATCAATAAAGTAATGGCAACTTGCAAGCATCCCTTCCCGTTTGCACCACAACCAGGCTCATTTTCCCTCCAAATGTTCCTTTGCTCCCAGTCTCGCTGTCACCAACCTAACCTGGATCCACAGCCCCCTACAGAAATCCAGGGTCTCTTATGTACTTCTATCCTTTAGATTCATCTGACAACCAGCTAACCCACCCATTTTTCTCAAACATGTCATTTGCCAGTCGCAAACCTTAAATGACTCCCTAGTGCCTCAACACTGAAGTCTGAAAGCTTCAGTGTTTTCTTTAATGCCCTCCGCAACCTGAGAGCTACTTTCCCTTCCAGTGACGACGGTCCATGCTTGTTCCCCAAATATGTCCTCTGTTCCTTGAAGCAGTACGACGCATAGAAACTGCTCTGCTCATCAAAACCCCAACTTTCAAAGCAGTTCAAATGCACATGTTCTGTGAAGCCCTCCCGGGTCGTTCCATCTGGCAGGTAGGAAAAGACAAACTTCATAGGATCTGTGAAAATCTTGGTCATTAAGATACACATTGAAGGATTTGTCTGCGTAATGGAATTTTTAAAGGATCATCATCACAGGTAAGCAGTTCTTAACCAGGGATGCCTTTGTCCCTCAGGAGACATCTGGCAAGGCCTGCAGACATCTTTGGTTGTAACAAATGGGGTGGGGGCTGCTACTGCCATGGCTGGAGTACGTAGAGGCATAAATGCTGCTCAACGTCCTGTACAGGAGGGGCCTGCAAACAAAGAATGATCTAGCCCCCCAAATATTAACAATGTCGAAGCTGAGAACTCTGGCTTTAGACCACTGGTTCTGGAGTCAGCCAGAGTGTGCTTGAATCTGCCCCTTTCTTCACTGACAAGCTGCACCACCTGCCTGAACCATGGTCCCTCCTGAAGTGACCCCACGTAACCCTTATCCTCAGCCTGAGGGAGGTGTGCTACCCACACTGAGAAACGATTCGGAGACGTTGTGCAAACAGTGGGGACTGTACGGCTTCTTCACTGGTTTAAAATACAAAGACGCCAAGTGAACTGACACATCAGCCCTGGAGATGCGATCTTACTTTTAACAAACCCTAACGTCCTCTCAAAGCTTCCACTGCATTTTCTGCCAACATCTGTTTTCAGATGACTTTCTCACCTGGACTCCTGCTCCTGGTTTAACTCCTCTGGTCCCTCCTGTTCCCTTTCGTCCACCAGAGCCAACTTCCTAAAGTACAGTTTTACCTGAATTGCGGTTCTGCTCAAAACCCCCTTACTGGCTCCCCTCCCTCCCAGGGTTTAACATCTTGACTGTGAGGCATTCAAGCTTCCACCTTCACGAAACTGCTGTTGACTTAAATGAGACTGGGCTCCATCGAAAACCACATTGCTCTTTCTCTCTACAGTGTACCATGCGTCTTTCCACCCAGCTTTTTGCCTTTGCTGTCCCCTCTCCCCCAAACGCTACCTCTGCCACATTCAAAAACAGTGACCCCACCTCTGATCAAAAGCCACCCTCCACCTTTTATCCGCATCCACACGCTGCCTCGTATTCCTTGCATCATGGTCATGGGTGTCCACCTTCCACTCTGGCGGTGGTATTTTCTTCTCTAATGGCACACGGTTTTCGTTTTTACGATACCACATCCAGTACCACGCCATGTATAAAGGTGCTGAGAGATTAAATACTTCGTAAACGACTAAACCTCTAAGAAGTGACAAAAAAAGGGAGCCTCATCCTTTGGGGGCTGTGGCTTGTTCCCTGGCCAGGTGACCACAGAATACCATCCCTGGCTCTTCCCGATGAAAACACTCTACGAACGACCAGGGGCTGGAGATGGGCTCGCAGCCTAGGCATTGAACTGCCCCACCCAACGTTGACGGGTGCCAGCAGCTCCACCCCAAACCCCAAATTGAGATTAAAGGCTTCTACGCTGGCCTCGCCCGAGCTCAAGGAGCGGGGTGCAGGGCCAGAGACGAGACGGGGTCCCCGACCTTTCCGGGGAGCACATGGCGGAACCGCTCCCAGGCTTGCGCAGGCGCAGAGCCACGAGCTTTGGCCGCCTCCCCTCATGCCACCGCCAGCGTCCGTCCCCGTTACCTTGAGAGCCTCAAGTCCCATAAGACGAGATTTGCGATCCTGATCCTTGATGATGAGGAAAGGGCGCCCATATTCATCGAAGGCGAGGGTCCCGACCGACGCCATGGTGCAACAGCAGTGGTTACTTTCCCCCAACCGGTGGAGACCGCGCCGGAACCGAGAACACGCCTTCCGCTCGCGGGAGGGCGCAACAGTGCGCGCATGAGCAGTCCGGGGCGCTTGAGACTTATTTTTCACCCGAGACTAGTTTGACGCCAGACAGTACCTTCTGGAATCAGAGGCCTTAAGAAACTTCTATCATCCAGGAAGCTGTGGGGGAGGGTGAAGTTCGAAGACACGGACGGGAAGTTAAAATCCACAAGCCAAGAGTAGATGAAACTCATTTGCCAGAGCTGTACCATGGGGAGTTTCTAGGTAGTGGGTCCCCAACGAGGAACTCGTTTACTTGCAGCATTACTGTCTCCTTCCGTTCCACCCCGGCTCCGAGAAGATGGTAGAGCCCACTTCCGGGTTTCCACCCTTTCCCCTCCCCCCGCCTCCGTCCCCTCCCCCCCCGCCCGCCTCAAGCCGCTGGAAGTCTCGCGATGGAAGGAGGCGGTGAGCGGGCGCGGGTGGCGGTGGCGGGTGCGGGCCCCACGTGGGGCTGGCGGGCTGCTGGGCCTTCCGACCTCCAGGTCGGGCCGGACAGATGTGGGCGCCCCGGTGCACGGGGCGCGGGCCGCTCGCTGGTACCGGTATCTAGCTGCCGGGGCGGTTCTGAGCACTTTGGGGCGAATAACTCACGGAGTCTGCCCCGCGGTGTTCTGAGTTGTGAACTGGAGTCACACTGGGTGGGAGTCCTGTAACGCGGCCGCTGACTAGCTGGGTCTTCGGGGAAGTGACTTACCGGCTTTGTGCCGCCGTTACCTTGCCTGCAAAAATGGCAGTAGTGACAAGAGTATCTACCTTGCACATCTTCTGCAAGGATTCAGGGAGAACAGTGCCTGGCCCTTAGCAAGCTCTGTTTAAGTGTTTGTTGAAGAAATCCCCATTTTGCACAAAAAGTCCAGTAACTTGAGCAACGTGATACAGCTAGAGTACTCTGCTCTCTAAATCTCTTCTGCCGCGTTTGCTTAAGGGCACTGGTCATGACCTAATACTTTATAGGCTTAGATTCGGCCGTAGAAAGTGATAAAGTACAGCTGATCCTTGAACAATGGGGTTAGGGGTGCCCGCGCAGTCTAAACTTGTATAGTCAGACCTCCTGTGCAGGCGAAAATGCACGTATAACTTTTGACTCCCCCAAAACTTTGCTAATATGTTGGTGGGAAGCCAGTTACCACATTTTGTATATGTATTACATACTGTATGCTTATTAGCATAGATGTTAATTAAAAAAAGAAAAGATGTTATTAAAATCACGAGAGAAAATGTTTACAATAGTGTATATAAAAAAAAAAATCCATGTTTAAGTGGATCTGTGCAGCTCCAACCGGTGTTGTTCAAGGGTCTACTGTACTGATCTATGGACCTTGAAAACATTATGCTAAGTGAAAGAAGCCAGTTACAAAAGAGGGCATACTATGATTCCACTCCCGTGAAACTCCAGAATAGGAACTGTAGAGACAGAAAGTAGATAGGTGGTTGCTTAGGGCTAAGGTGTGAAGGGGTGTGTGTGTGTGGGGGGGGAGTGATAGCTAAAGGTTAAGGGGTTTCTTCTTGAGGTAATGAGAATGTTCTAGAATTGACTTGTGGTGATGGTTACACATATCTATGAATATACTAAAATCTTTGCCTTATGCATGTTAAATGGGCACATTGCATGGTATATGAAGCAGCTAAAAGTTATGGAGCTCCCCCCGTACCCATAGTACTGAGACTAACAGTAGCAGCGAACAGTCATCACTTACTCTCTCATTTAGAGCATTAAGTGCTTTATATGCATTATTTATTTAACTGTTCCAATAACCCCATGAGGATAGTATTATTTCTGAATTCTACAGGTGGAGAACCTGAGCCTTGGCCAAAACTTATCTAATGTAACACGCTAGTTAAGTTCTGTGACTCCAGAACTTTATGACTCAAATCCTTTTAACCACTGTACTGTATAATCGGAATACCCACAGGATAATTTTGCAGAGGCATGGCAGATGGTACTTTGACTTTTTAAAAAACAATAAAATGCATGACTATTTACTATAGCATGTAAATTCCCCCATATGATGCTGAAAGGCATAACTGAAAATGTATTTAAAACTCTTGCTTTCTATCAAACACCATCACCTTCCTAATCTTTACTTTGATCTTATTTCTAGCACCAGCAGTAGACTCTTGTTCTTGTTTCTGAGTTGGTTTTCCACTGGGAAACCAGTTTTAAAATTCACTTTAGGGGACCTCGGCTGTCAAGAACAAAGCTCCAGTGTGTGTGAGATGCTGGTAGTTGGCCACTGGCCTTGAGCAGTGACTCACTGCAGAGGACCAGCTTTTCGTGTGTCCTGTGTTCAGATCTGTACCTCACAAATTGTAACAGATCACCACATTTCCCAATTGTAACGGACCCCCCCCCCCAGCCCACCGCCCGGCCCATGTCCTAATCTGGAACCTTTGCATATGGTACACAACAGAATTTATAAATGGGATGATGTTAGGGCTTTGAGATGGGGAGATTATTCTGGCTTGTCCACGTGGACCCGATGTCCTCACGAGGGTCCCTATAAAAAAAAGGGAGGCAGGAGAGTCTGAAGAAGGTGTCCTAATGGAAGCAGAGGTTGGGTAATGGGGGGCCGTGGGCTGAGGAGTGTGGGCTGCTTCTAGATGCTGGAAAAGGCAAGCAAATCCATCCCACCTTAGGGCTACCAGAAGGAACCCAGCGCTGCTAACCCATTTCAGACATCTGACCCCCAACTGTATGATAATAAGTGCGTGTTGCTTTAACCCTCTAAAATTTCTCACTGCATCTTTGGGAAAATAATCCAATGGGCCCTTTGAATGGCTTACTAATTCCTGAAACCATGGATGTTAACATCTTCAAATGACAAGAATCTGTTGTTTTCCCCCCTCTTACTGTCTTCTGTTTCCTATGATTCCTGTGTTTTGGGCCTTATCTGCTCTTATTAGTCTGGGAGCTGCCTGGGGGCAGCCTTGTTCCCTGTGGGGTTCAGCATGTAGCCAGTGGTGGTCGCAGTCAGCGTGTGCCGAGCAGTGTTCCAAGTGCGTTCCTTGCATCCATTCATTTCCTCCGCACAATGACCCTGTTAATCCCCATGTTACAGATGAGAAAACCAAAGCTCAGAGAGGGTCATACTGTTATCCACGTGCAGAGTCCAGGTCCTCACCTCCAGGTCCGAGGACCTGGTGCTCTTATTGCTGTGCTGGGCTCCTCTCTAATCAGTTTCAAAATCATTTTCAAATCAGTTTCAGTCCCAGGAACTTGAGATCCTCTTCAGAGGATTTTAAAGGGTAAAACTCAAGAGGAGGGTATTTCAGGTATCATTCATTTCTTTGTTTTCAAGTGACTGGAGTTTGCTTTATTCCATCCTGGTGCATTGAAATGATTATTTTATCATTTGTTCTTTTTGGATCTTCTTTAAAAATCTTTTCATTACCATACTTTTTTTTTTTTTTTTTTGGTGAAACCTGATTAT